TTCTCAGCCAAGGTGCAAAGATAAGTGAATTGGACATTTTGTTATTGGGTGTGAGAATGCTTATCAGTTCCTGATCTTGCCTTGGCACCTGATTTAAGCGTAATAAATATGCCCTTAGTCATAGGAATAGCTTGGCAATAAGTCAGAAATAGAAATAGAAGCAGGACTATCAGGAACAGTAGAAAGAATAAGGCCAGGAAGAAGGTGAAAACTTCTTTCCACTCATCCACATATGACATATTTGTCTCAGCATGGTGTTTTCAGAGCCAATCTTGTCTACCTCAAGTTAATGAAGATATGTTCTTGGTTTAATGCTACCCAAGTTAAGTAATGTTCTATCATTCAAATAATATCTCCATACATTAATTCTTAGTAAAATATGTCAAAAGAGTAAAAGCATTGTATTCACATATGACATAATACTGATCAAATTGTCTTTCATCTTTAAGAGATTAACCTGCTAATTATTACACTGAATCAGAATAAAATATTAAGTTATTTTAATCTCATCATTATTATGTTCTTTTTTCATGACACTTCTTTGTTTTTGATAACTTATAGTTTCAGTCATCTTCTAAACAAGTGTATGGTTTGAATATTCTAAAGAAACTTTGTAGGATAAACTCTGATCTGGTCTAAAGTTTAAACCCACTAACCACTCTCAGAAACCCTATATGTAGTCACTAGGATTTGGAACTAACGTGAAAGCACGTGACAAAAACAATTGGGTCTTTCAATCACTAAGTAGTAATGAAGAGTCTTCTTTTTACTAATGTCCATCCATCTGCACGGCTTAAATTTTTTTTGGAGTTGGATAATATCATAAATGTATTGTAATTCCTCTGTGTCTCTCAAGACTTTAAGACAATCACAACTATTATTTTCTATTAAAATGTAAAAAAAAAAACTTGTGAAAAAAATAATCTATATCAATGCAATAGAGAAAATACTATAGGACTCCTCATGTGGTGCTGTAGGATCAACACTGAACTCCAAATCACAGGATTGGCAGTTCAAACCCACCAGTTGTTCCTTGGAAACCTTTTACAAGGTCACTATGAGGTGGAATTGACTTGATGGCATTAACAACAACAACATCCAAAATATGCATATAATTTTGGGGAAAAACATTATTAGAATTAAAGAAACTAGCCAAACATTGCCTCTTCACAGCTGTTAATCCTTAGTGTAGACTTGCTTTCCTCATATAAAAAAAATTTACCTCTTCTATTCAGATTTTACATAAGATACTGAAATGGTAATGTTTTTCATTATGATACAGAATCAGTACCTCCATCCTGATAATACTTCAAATGAAGGATGATGTTCAAAGAAGTAAAACAGGATGAATATCTTATATAGATTCTTCACTTCTCTGACACTTAACCTGTAAGATGTCACATTTTCTGTATATCTAGACAAACTACTAAGATAATGTCTACATAATAAAACTACTGAAATAATTTTCACCTGTAAAATACATTCTAGAATTAGAAAATGAAAAAAAGGGCACTTATTTTTCATTTGACTTATGTTGCATATTTATAAGATTTAACTTAAATCACACATTGAGATTTGTCCACTATGACTTAAATAAGAAAATGAAACAAACTATAAGATAAAAGAACTTTTTTAAGATTAATTACAATTGTTACTTTTTACATGGGAATATTTCTAAAGTGAAGACTCAAAATTTCATCCAGCTTCACTTGGACGATTGCTAGACAGAAGCAAAGAAAGTAAATGTATAAAACTGATACTGTTATACATGTGAGAAAAATGTATAATTGACATAGAAGTATAATTCAGTATATATAAACTGTATACATGTATATACAATGTATATACATATATAATAGTGCTCTACATACACACACATACATATGATTGCCCAATTACACATGTGTTATTGCTCCCATTACTTTTAAAAGGCCTATAGTATATTAAACAGAAGACTTACATGGTTAAGTAGTGATACTTATTTATATTCTTTTCACCTGAATTTTCACAGTAGAGGATTTTTTGAGCTGAGCATGTTTTAATTTCTAAATTCAAATTAAAATAGCTCAAATCCCTTAAGATGAGGTGCCCTTTCATTACCATTTCCTCTCCTATTATCTTAACTCATTTTACTTTTATGTCTCCCATTTTGTGAAGTATTTCATTAATATTTTCTATGTGACAGACATTTCACAGAAATGCCACATTTATTGGTTTAGATAACATAATCCACAAGGACAGGACTACATGGATACACTAAATAAACCAAAATAATATGTGGCAATGGTTAAAGAAATCCCATTTCTTCTAAAACTGCATTATCAATTGTAAAAATCCTAAACACAAATATTTTTCTTTTCTGATATCATAAACCAAAAAAAATAAAATAAAACTTTTCAAACTCAGGCATAAATCTTTCCTTATAATTCTATCTCTACATTTTAATTGAAAATATGATGACAATCATCTTTATTTTTTAGTATTTTGAAGTTAGATGAAATAATATGGCCTTCTAAATGAAAACATAAAAGCATCTACATAACTCTTATTATATATAATATAAAGCATGTTAAAATTAATATGAAGTTATCAACTAATATTTCTATTCTAATTATTTCCCACTCACCATCTTACAGTTTAAGGTACATTACAATATATTCTATGATTTCCAAATGTTATGATGATGAGTATTTATAAAATAGCTATAACAATAATAATATTAAGTATCTTTCAGATCTGGGTCTGCTTCTGTTACCCAGAAGTGAATTAGTGATGGATTTTCTCTTAAAAACAAACAATTTTAGTGCAGCAAAATTATAAAACAAATCCTATTCATAGTACCTCTCTGGTAGCGTAGTGGTTACGAATCGGGCTGCGAACCGGAAGGTCAGCAGTTCGAAACTACCAGCTGCTCCGCGGGAGAAAGATCTGCTCCCGTAAAGATTTACAGCCTCGGAAACCCTATTCAGGGTCGCTATGGGTCGAAACCGACTCGACGGCACTTAACAACAACAACAACATAAACAAATCCTGTTGATGAAACTTGATATCATAAAGCAAAGCTAACTTAAATAATTTTAGCACACAGCTTAAGTGGCCTAGAAAATGCCACTGAAGCAAAAAACTATATTCATTAATACACAATTCCATTCTCATATAATAAATTTATTTTTACTAAATAAATAAATGTATTTCTCCTTTTCCTCATCTTTACATGTAGGATAAAATTATACCTACATGTAAGACAACACAGCCTTACTCTCTATATTTAAATAAAATATAAACATAATTTGTTAGTGAACACTGATTTTTCAAAAGTCAAAAGCACCAAGATAATTAGGGATTGTACTTTAACCTGATTGGTATAATATGCCATGTTGTGAAGGCGTGCAATGTTCTCAAGGAAATGATTATTATTATTGAAAGAATGTGACTTTGCACTTTGAGTTTTTACTATGAACATGTGTGCTACTATTTGCCAGAACAACTGATTAGAAGTAACACAGACATGATAGATTACTAGTTTAGAAGATAAACACTTAAGGAGTAGTGGCACTGAATTTCTGCACCTTAAAAATAATCTCAGTGAAGAAAGGAAAAAATTATTAGAAAAAGGAACAAGGAAGATGAGATGACTAGAAAAATGATGATATATGTATGAGAAGATAAAAATAAAAGGGGAAGAGACAAAACAAGAAGAATGATGCCCATTTAACAGTGGGTCTGACCCTCTTGCATAAAAAATACTGTATTTCAATATTGTATATAGAGATATAGTGAGTTTTTTCATAGTTTTTTTTTTTTTTTTTTTTTTTAAATCTGGACTAATTCCAAAATATACTTATATAATTGAGGATAAAACTTCTAGGTACAGCATGTCAAGTGCAAAGTAGCCCTGAAAAGTTGCAGTTTTATATTGATATACTTGTATTTTCCATCTGTATGCATACCTATGTTGATATCCATGTATAATTCATCAAGATATACATAAATATTCTTCTAAACATTCATGAACATTTCTAAAGTACAGTGCCTTAACAGTATATCAACCACACAGCTTTGGAAGCTGCTAGTCTTATGCTTTTTTGTGGGGAAAAAAACGTGATGTAAGGCATCAGTGAATTCTGGTGAATTACATTCAACACGTAAAGATAATTTCTTCTAAGGGCAGCTCGAGGACGCCCTAGCAGAAAATACTGGTTTTAATGCAGAAATCCACAGCTACAATCACTGGAGCTCTGCTACCCTCTACTGGCCACATGAGATAAGTGCCTGCCTAAAAGCTGTCAGATTTGCATCAGTTCAGTTTCCTCCACAAACAAGATACTGGCACCTTAAAACTACGAATTTCTTTGGTTTCACTCACATATAAATGGATCCTATCTTGGGCTATTGCCAAATTAATTTCACAATACTTTAATGTTTCACAGAAAGAAAAACTCAGTAAACATTCTGCCTTAGTTCAAGAACAGCTGGAGCCAGTAAGAGGTTGGAAGAAACAGCCAAATACAATTGTAAAACTTTCACAGCAAACAGGATTCTGTTAAATTGACCCAAGGGAATTTAATTCTGATTGGTTGGTGTATGTGGGTGTCTGATTGTAGTATTTTTATGTGTATTTTTAAGGAGAGCCATTTCCTTAAGGTCACTTACTATCTTAAGATGTATGGATCACTTTGATTATCTTATCTAATTAATGTTCTTAGCAATCTAGTTACTCTATGTTCTCCCAGTTGCTTCCTACCTGTTTGGGGTACTAAATTTGAAATTCATCACTGAAGAGAAAGACAGGAACTGTAAATCAGATAGATTTAAGTCCCAATAGTATAGGATGTGGGTGGGGCTATACAATTTATCAACATCACAGTGCATCAAACTTGTTAAAATAAACTAGCTCTCTGTATAACAAGTAAAAACAAATATTTTTAAAGGGGAAACAAGAAAGGCATGGCATAGCTGGAGTTTAAGGTTCAAGCTCTGTATCCTCTATATATAATGTATTATGTTTTTCAAAAACTTTTTATTAGGAAAGCTATACCAGACGCATAATCACTATACAATGATTAAACATTACCTTTACAATTTATAATCACTGAAATTACAGAATAAATATATGCACATTTCTTTAGAATCTTTGTGTGTGAGAGAGAAAACATTAAAAGTGCTTCCTACAAAGCTGTTAGTGATATATACCCAGTTGCTTTTTTAATTTTATATATATATATATAAGAAAGTGCAGATGTTCTCCAAAATTTCTTGGCATCAGGATGAAATGTCACAAAGAGGGAGTTCATCCCTAGGTGTGTGCCTCTGGCTGTTAAACCACCGGGTCTCCATTTCAGTAGGATCCAGCCTAGAATATAACTTCCCCTAGGATGCTAAGGGAAAATGCTGTGAGCTAAACACTAGGTAGGAGTGGAGGGCAGATGAAGTTATGGAGAGGAGAGGAATGAATCAAACCCGAACTAATCATATTGGGTTGAATGTGAGTGGTGTGTGTGTGTGTGTGTGTGTGTACCTGTGTATCTGCACCAGAGAAGTAGGTTGCAGGTTTAGGGACCTGTGTACAGGTATTTGCATGTGGGTATGTATGTGAGAGACAAGAGTGAGTGAAAACATTCGAGCAAGACCCGCCCCTCCCTCCCCGTCTTGCAGTTTCCAGGCATGCAGCAAACTGCATTGTTAATACATGTACAGAATCTGTGCCATGACGGGAAGAGGAAAGAAAGCCACAAATGTCAATTTGTTTCCCCCATCCCTTTCAAAGAAACCTACAACTGAAAAAAAAAAAAAGACACATTGAATTTTACTTAATTAGGATCAATACAGTGATCCCTAATATACCTTATACATGGCACAGTCAAAGTCTCAATTTCAGTATAAAAAAATAATGATAACATTTGCTGGCAAAAGTCTGCGAAGGCACTTCATTGATTAATGATCTGAGTATGGCCCTTCCTCCAAATCCCATTTGAGAGGGGAGAGCATACATGTGTATTCTCTAGTTATCATGCAGTTTCAGTTCTGTTCAGGGCAGGAAAGGTTATGAGGGAGGAGTTATTGGGACAAGTATAAAGGGAGAATGGGATAGATTTCTTTTATTTTCCTTTTCTTTTCAAAAAACAAAACAAAACACTAATTTATCTTTCTTTCTCTGTTAGAACCTATATGTTGTCTTCTCCAGGACTTCGAGGTAATCCGGCTTGGTTTGAAGTTTGGCCCTTAACTCGAGGTAATCACTTTTTTGGGTTTGGTGGTCTGTGAAGCCCTTTCCAGCCGAGAAGAGAAGGGTTTCTTTGAGCCTGGCATCCTGCTGTAAGTCTGGGTATTGCATGCCAGGAGGGTGGACATGTAGTTCCTTTAATTTGGGCACTGTGCCATAGAGACAGTCCACAAAGCCCACTGTGCAGGGGGCTGGTTGTGGCCTTTCTCGGTCTAGTAGCATACTGCTACCACCACAGCCTCCCCCAGGAGGAAACAGCACCACCCCACCATTCTTCTCATGATGGCGAAACCCAGCCATGTCTCCCCCAGTTCCCCCAACTACCCCTGAAACCCCACCACCTGCTGGGTGATGTGGGTGAGGGTGATGGTGGTTCACTGTCACTATGGTGTTAAGCTGGGAGCTGGACACAGCCAGGGCCCACTCTTTCTCCTTTTCCAGCAAGGTCCGGTAGTTGGTATGGTTCTCCTTCGATGTCTCAGCAAACTGCTCGCTTCCTAGAAGAACCTCGCTCATTCCTGGTGGTTGTGTCCCAGGACCCCCACGTTCTGCAGCCCCTGGTTCCTGGACTGATGAAATGGTTACTTCCTCCTCCTCACGAGGCTTGTAGATAGGATTGTTGCACATCTGGGTGACTGGGTGGGGGATGTACTCATACACGTGACCCACAGGAGGAGCCTTCTCTGGAGATGAAAGAGTTGGTCGGCCCCCACTTCCACCCCCACCACCTCCACCATCTTCAAAAAGCCGATGGCATTGCATCTGAATTCCAGTTAAGTCTACACCTTCCTGCCTCTTGCTTCTAAAGGGCAGCTTCTTCCGGCGACGTCGGAGCACATAGGCAAAGAGGCCTGCAGCAACAAACACTGCTGAAAAGAACAGAACCAGCAAGCTGAGAATCAACACAGAAAGTGGCACTGGTCCCCCAGGGGGAGAGAACTCATAAGGTGATGCACTTGTTGGCCCTCCAGCAAGGTGAAAATCCCCAGGCTGGGCTGGGGATGCTCCAGCTGGTGGGACATGCAACATCTCTGGGCAAAGAACTTCTAGCTCAATGGTGCGCACATCACGGTGGGTGAGGTTCTCAGGGCTCCCACAAAGCACATCACCCACCACACTGACTGAACTGATGGTTTCAATCCACTGTTTGAAGGGGACCAGGTCACAGGTGCAGTCCCAAGGATTCTCATTGAGATCTATCTGGACAATGGCATTCAAGTGCTCCAGAACACCAGCCACAGGTAGGTAGAGGAAATAATTCTTTCGCAAGTTAAGCCGGGCCAAAGATGTGCCTGCAAAGGCATCTGTTGGCAGGGTCCTCAGCAAGTTGTTGTTGAGAAATAGTAGCTTCAAGTTGGGCATGAGGCTGAAGGCTGCAGGCTGGATTTCTCGGATAACATTAAACTCAAAGTACAAGTAGTGCAAACTCTGTAGGCCTCGGAACATGCCTGGTGTCAGCTTCTCAATATCATTACCATTGAGAAAGAGGCTCTTTAGGTTGGGCAGGTTGATGAAGGCTCCGTCTTGAACATAAGAAATACGATTGTTCCCCAGATGCAATAGATCCAAAGAGGAGAAATTCCAAAAATCAGAACGGTATATTTTCTGAATCAGATTGCTACTCAGGTATAGTTTCTTGGCATTCAAAGGCCTTGGAAGAAGTTCCGAAATGTTATTAAATCCCCGTTCTTTGCAGTTGACTGTCAAGCCAAGGTCATTGATGTGCAAATTACAGGTGCACCCAGTAGGGCATATAATGGGAATGGGTGGTCTGGTCTGGTAAGGAGCAATGGGAGGCTGGTTTGGACCCGGATATAATGCTTGGGATGTGGAGGGTGGCCTTGGTGTTCGGGGTTGTTTGGTGGGTTTAGGCTGTTTATTTGAGGACTTATATTCAACAGAAGAAGCAGTAAAATGGACGGATGACAACATTGAAGAAGGCTTAGTTGGCCATGCATTTTCCTTGCTTGATGACAAGTGAGGGATTCCCAAACTAGCCTCCACCTCGGAGTCAGACAACAAGGGACAGAGTTCTGTCTTCCTGATTTCCCGGAGGTCCTTTCCATGGAAATGAAAAGGGGTCTCGCAGGTGATGTCTCCTACCAGGGCGGTATAAGGAATGCGTTCCAGCCAACTTTTCAGTTGTACAATTTCACATGTACAGTTCCAGGGATTTTCTTCCAACTGGAGCTCCATTAGGCTTCTACCAATATGGTCTAGCATCCCTCGGTAAAAAAGAACCTTTAACCTGTTTCCACGTAGGTCCAGATGGGTTAAAGAGACAGCCTTAAATAAATTGGTTGGAAGCATGGGAATGAGATTATCATTTAAAATCAGAACCCTCAATTTACTAAGGTTCCGAAATGCCCCACTCTCAATACGTTTAATGACATTGTAATCTGCCTGCAAATATTCCAGGCTTTCCAAGCCTAAAAAGGTGTCATTTCTGAAGACATCTAGTTTGTTCTCATGTAGATATAGCCTCTTTAAAATCTTCAGACCATTGAAAGCTCCTGTTTGAATATCCTGCAATGCATTGTTGCCAAGGTTAATGGACACAGCATTATTCAAATGGAGAAAACTGTTGGTATACAATTTCCTCATTGAATTCCTCTGCAGATACAGTTTAAAAGGTCTTGACCAGAACTCTGTTATCTGACTAATATTTGTAAATCCCTTATTGTCACAATGTATATGAAAGAGGCTTTCTTTAACTTCACAGTAGCATGGATCAAAACAAGGCTCATCTATTTCCTCTGAGTCCTCTATCAAGGGAATCGGGGTAGTCCATCCTAGAGCAATTGTGCTTAGAAGAATTATCCACAACATCCTCCCTCTGTGAAGCATCTCAGTTACGGAGGGTTTCATCATTCGTTGTTGATTACAAAACTGCAACAGAAATAAAGATGCAGATTTTTAGCTTTAGTCATATGCATGATTTTAATAAACTCCTACATGTGGGGCTTCTAAGAGCATTACAAAAACTTCAGCAGTTGTTGTAATGATCAAAATGAGCTAGCAACATGCTTAATGTTTAGAATGCATCAGAAATTTAAAATTTAAGAGACCATGAAATACTGAACCATGAATTCACATTATCCTGACCCAAGCCATACTTGGTAAAAGGCATGGGCCTCATATAGAAAACAAGGAAACTGATTTTCTATACATTTCAGGCACAGGCAGATTCAGCAATAATGGCAATACTTTGTCCATAACACTATTTTGCCCATTAAAACTCACATTGACATGAGAGGTACCATTATAAACTGAACTGGAACTGTGATGGAAAAAAAAGAGTCTTAAAGCTATACATTTCTACTCATAAAAAGATGTGGAGGGTCCCCAAAGTAATTAGTAAAAATGTATGACAAAGTATGATCCCAAATACTCAACATCAGATGTTGAGATCCATAAAGTAATTAACATCTTTGGAAAACCTAAAATTAATCTTTAGAAATAATCACAAAAATTTTAGTAACAGTATATGGTTAGTAACACACTATATCCCTAACCCTAAGCACGCACTATTGAAGTCCCTTTCAATTAAACGCATAACCTCTATATATTTGTGTAGTTTAGCTCTTTAAAACCTTTAGGAATGATTAACGGCTCTAAAGAACATGTCCATGTAATTGTCTGAGCTAAAGATAGTGACAGTTAAAGGATGCTGAGCCTGGGAGCGTCTGTTTTAAAACACTCTGAGAGCTAGCTCAGTTTGGAATGTGTATCTGTGCCTTGAAGATCAACTGAGGAGCCCTGTGAAAAGCTGGAAGGGCAGGTAGCTGGTTAGAGGAGAAGTGGGTAAAGGAAGATAGGGTGGAAATCTTAGTTTTTACCTGCTGATAAATGAGGATACCACATTAAATACTCTTCAAAGAAAAAAAAAACACATTATTATTTTATAATCAGAAGAAATATATGCAGTGCATTATTCTAACATACAGAACCTTCCCCTATAGCTCTGCTCTTTTTTTCCTTGCTTAATATCACCAGTATATGGGAATGCATACATAAATTATAATAATGCAGTTTTATTAGACTGTCCTTTAAATATCAGTCACAACTGAACAGATATTTTAATCAACAAAATAAACTTTAGCATATCTTATCTCCTCATGCATAGATGCATACATTCAAGAAATCTTTTATCAACCTTCTAACTTAGAGCCCAATGCTATAATTTATAGGGAGAGTGAAAGAGAATAAATCTTCACATTCAACTTGTATATTGTACACAGCTATGAGGAATCTGTGAGAAAGCAAAGAAAAATCTGCCTCAGGCATGCAATAGTCAATTTTTAGAAACAATTAAATGAAAAGAGAGAGAGAGAGGGAGAAGGCAGATGAAGCTACATTGCAGTATCAGTTAGTCTTTCCTGTCTCATAAAATATTAAAATCGACATAAGTTCTTTCTTGTTCACTATTTAAAAAATATTTTTTTCTTGGTTTTTTTTTTTTTTTTTTGATCCCTGGGGTTTAGGCAAGAAAGGTTCCAGGTGATTTTGACTTACCTATTTTGCAGGAGATTTTTTTTTAGTACATTGAAAAATAAAAAATAAAAACTTGAGTTGAAGGATTCTGTATTGAAAAGGGGGTGGAGGGAGAGGAAGACTAAGGGGGGTGGGGGGAAGCAGCAAGCTTGAAACGTGCTGAGAATGCAATGGGCCCTTCAATGGGCTTCTTTAGGATGCAGAACTGCCGCTTGGCACAGTCAATGGAGGAGGAAGGAGAAGGGGCTACTGCAGGCTTTCAGCTCTGCTGCCGCCAGCGCGGCTGCTCTCTCTGGGTACCGGCAGCACATCATTGGACGCTAGGAAGAAGGATCGGAGAAAGGCAGGCAGGGAGAAAGGCTCAATCATAGTGGAGAATCTCGGACTTCTCTCTCTCTCCCATTTTTTTTTTTTTTTTTTTTTTTTTAATGTGCTGTAACCCTGGAACCGGCTTTCCACGTCATGAAAATGAGCTTCTAGAAGAGGAACGCGCTTTGCATGTGATCGGGAGCGAGCACTAGGAAGCCCTGACTATACAGTTTCTATTTGTGTGTGTGTGTGTGTGTGTGTGTGTGTGTGAGTGTGTGTACGCGCGTGCGCGCGGGTGTATGTGCGCGAGGGAGCAGGGGCATTGGGAAAGTAGAAGTGGAGATGAAATGATAAATTGACAAAGCATAAAAACAAGAAGCAGAAAAGACCAACCAACAAGAAACATTCCTTTGTGTTGGAAGTGGTGGCGAAGTGTAGACCTTTAAAAAATTTTTTTTAACATTCAAGGAAAGCAACCCTTGACTGGTTTGCGCCTCTAGTTCCCAAAGCTTCTTTCTCTAAATATGATTGAAAAGTGAAACTCTCCTTTGAATTTTCCTTTTTCACAGCACAGACACTTCTCTCCAAAGAAGATGAAGGGAAAAGCAAAGCAGAAGAGCTGACTCTGACTGACTCTGCCCGGATGTCCCGAATAACAGCTCAGGCAGTCTGAGTAACTTGGACCGGATTTCTCCTGAATTTTGCTTCGATCCCTTTGCACTATGAGTCTTTTTGTTGTGCTGCAGCTAAAAGCCTTCGATTTCCCTTGGATTCAAAAGTCAACAGCCATGTGTTTGCTTCCAGATTTTTTTTTTTTTTAACAGAGACAAGCCAATGCTCTGTAAAGAGAGGCAGAACACTGGTTTACAATGGTACATTTCACATTCTTCCATTGGGAAAGATCTCTCAGGGCTAGGGGGGCAGAAATTTAGGATTTTTTTTCCTCCAAATGTTGTTCCGTGATATTCTGGGGGGAGGGTGGAAAGGAGTAGTATTGGTGATTGAAAAAAGATGTCGCGGTGTAGAGGGGCCACAAGACCCTCTAAGAGAAATTTTTAATGGCTCAACGGACAGTTCCACAATCCTACCTGGGAGGGGAACTGAGGAGAGTCAAATGTTTATCAAAGGAGTCTAGTTAGCTGGGACTGTACTGTGCGTGGTCGATGCATCGTCCCCCTCCTCTCTACACCCGCCCCCCCCCCCGCACACCAATCCTGTCACCAACTCACGGAGAAGGAGGAGGGGAGTGGCTTTTTCGCCGCTAAAAACCTGGACTCAACATCAATTGCCTAAGGGCTCCAAGTTAGCAGGTAAAAGACGTCTTTCCCTTAAAGCAGTTTTTACAAAACCAAAATTTACAAGAAAAGCACAGTTTATATGCCACTTTCCTATTACCCTAAAATACATAAATCACCTAATTCAATAAAACGTTCTTTAGAATTCAGTCACAGGGCAAACTGCATGACACTGTGCGTTTTAAATGACCACACATGTGTGTGCCTCTCCACAATAGCTAAGATTGGAAACCGCGATCAGAGAACAAGTAACCAGGCAGACAGGATTCTCTAGCAATATAACACACTTCATCTTTCAGACCCACCCTATTTCTCAGCTAGGTCTCATTTGAAAGGCTAAGCAACACCGACAGCCTGATCTCAAAAGCAGAACAAACCCATCTCCTTCCCCAGCGGCCACCCCCAACCACCTTCTGCACCCACTGTGCAGAAGCAGAGACTGTCGAATCTGAACCCATGACGCGATAGAAAGGATGGATAATCAGAAGGCTACTCTGAGCTACCCGATGCCAGGAAATGGTCCTTTTTGCAACCAGTCTCTCTTCTCTCTTAAACTAAAATTCCATAAATTCTGGACTCGGGCTATTTCTCCCTTTTTTCCCCCTATATCCCAGGATAGCGTATATAACAGTAAGGAAGGGCTCCAAAAGTTAGAGGGCGAAGGGCCCTGAAACCCCGTCTCATCCGCGTTCTGCTGAGAGCGCTGAGCACCATTATTTGTCCAGGAAGGACAAAAAGTCCTTTCTCCCGTTCCGGCTCCCCCTTCCCTATTGCCAGATCTCTGAGACCACTGATCTCTCCAGATCTAAGATTAAATATTCCAATATGGAAGCAAAATTATCTCCCTTAGCACAAATAATTAAAATGCTGCATCATTGATTTTCTGAAGAGCCCTGAGCCTTCTACAGATCCTTTTTAGTCTGCCGTCACCAGGCTAAACGACAATGGGTCTGTTTAGAATGGAAAATGATTTAAAGCTCAAGCCGTTTTCCTTCCTTCTCTTGACAGCACAAGCGAGCGGCCGAACCACTGGGGGAGGGGTCCTTCGCTCCACCACCTGGCCTATTTGTAGGAGTTACTTAAGATTCCCTCCCCCTCAAAGGAGGTCCGAGGGTATGTAAGTGGCCAGTACCCCTCTGTCCACCATAATCCATATAGCTAACTGAAAATTCGAAAATACAGCAAACCTCGGGCACCTGTGAACATAAAGAAGACACCGCGGTCAAACTCTATATGCTTCACAACACGCATCCTACAAGCTAGAAATACTGGCTTTCAATTAAGCAAAGTAGGAAAGGATGGCGGCGAGTACCTATGATGCTGAGCGCTCAAGATCTCCCAGGTTTGCTCCGAGCGGCTTCCCAGCAGGAGGTATAAACTCTCTGGGAGGTTGAATTGTATCCATCATGCTGTGTCTTTGCAGCTTCTCCTCTATCCTCCAACTTTCAGAAAGGCCACCAAATCACGCTTGTAATCCGTTTAAGTGTTTCCACCTTAGAGACTTGCAGGGAAATGGTCGCTGCATACCAATGGGAGAGCCTGGCGCGCACCTAGCGCGACGATGCCAGTGACAAGGAGCTCACGAACACAGCTCCATATGTCCTCGATGGTAGGCAGGCAGCGTGTGTGTCTCAGAACTGGCCTCGTTTAATTTAAAATCTCTGTGCACACGGATTCAGCGGCGATCTTCCCCGTCTCTGAGAGCCCGGGCTGGGTCTCTGGGTTTTTCTCTCTCCCTTCCTGAAAGGTTGTCACTCACAGCGCAATCCCTGCCCCAGGCATCCTTCGATCTGAGGAGATGGGACAAGCCTTGTCTTCCCTGGGTATCTTTGCTTTTGCCCTTTGAGTAGGTGGGAGTGGGTAGGATGGTGCGTAGACTAAAAAAGAGAAAGGTGGGGAGGGGCAGGAAGGAGACTGGAAGGGGACGAAGAGACCCCAGAACCCAGCATTTGCCAGACGGCGAAGGTGGAGGGAGGAAGGAGAGAGAGAGAGAGAGAGAGAGGATCCAAATAAAACACTATGGCCGTACACACCAAATTCGACTTGGATTGTGGGTGGGTGGGTGCTAATCGCAAAGAAAGCACGAAGGGGAAGTGATCTCGTTGAGAGAGAGTGAGCCCCCTGACAACTAACCATGCAAGCACCCGTGCTTCTCTAGAGGGAGAGGGTGGGAGGCGGGGGAGGGGATGGCGGAACGTTTCAGGCCAAGGAGACGCTCGCAGCGGCAGCGGCATCTTTCACACTGACCTGCTTAAAAAGTGCCACTTTAATGGCCCAGGAAATAACTAAAATCGGATTACACATTACTTACCAATGTCTGCTCCTAAACTGGGAGCGCCAGGTCGGGTATTAGGAGACAATATTCAAAACGCCGGGCTGGAACTCTAATGCAAATCCATCAGCCGCCCCCAAATCGAGCATCCAGGGAAAGGCGCTCGGGAGCCCCCAGATCAGCCCATCGTCGGAGCCTCCTCCAGCGTGTCCCCCCCTCCCCCCGCCCGCCTCCCATCCCCTCCTCCGCGCCAACTGTGTAAATCAGCCGCCGCAGTCCTTTCGCCGCGTATCGCAGGCAAATCCCTGTTTAGGAAGCAAGGAAGCAAGTGATATTCTCATTCTCTCTCTCTCTCTCTCTCTCTCTCTCTCTCTCTCTCTCTCTCTCTCTCTCCTCTACACAGAGAAACCTTGTAAAATTGAGTGACAGGAAGTCAGCATTCTGTATCAGTAGATGGGTTTTAACTTTTATTTGCAAATGGAAGAAGAATGTTTGGAAAATTACAGCCCAGGCATTGGAGGGAGGGGCTGTATGGTGGGGAGGGTGATCAAATTAAGAACATCTGAGTTGTATCGGTGGGCGGTATCGCTAAACGCCTCCCAGGACTGGTTTCCAAGTGATGTGCAGCAGTCCTCCACCTTCATGATACATAGATGACAATTTGAAAGTACACATATTTCCTCATCTGTTTACACTGGCTAAAAAGGAGGACAACAAAACTGTAGGGTGAGGGGAGACTTGGGGGCATTTGAGGGTGACATGCATACATTTCATGACAAATTAGATAAGTCCGCTCGAACAATTATTGCACCTTTTTGAAAGTATTATTACAGCAGTATATACCCATTGGAGGTGACCATTACCCCTACTGCAGTCGTATTAATGCAGTCATTTAATGCTCCATTCAATCTGCAGTGTAAACCAACGCAGTTCTTTTTAATAGCTCCCTTTCATCAGTGCCGATGTTGAAAAGAGGGCAGTCGTCCACTAACTCCCAAACTGAGTAGAAGATGGTACTCTGGGAAATCATTTCTGTATCTGTTGCCATTCCTTCCTAAAGTGAATGCAATAAATTGTCCAAGACAAGCAAAGTTCTGTGGCCATTATAATTGTGGACATAAAATGAACTCGGCTTTATTTTTTAAAGCTTTCAAAGGAACTGTATCTCACCTCTTGCGAAGATACAGTATTCTTTAAAACTTATATCTAGAAACCTTTGAGACACAGATTTGGAGACATGATTTTGGCCTTTTATTTTATTTTATTTTTTTAGTGGATTTTCTATATATGACAAGCTATACCAATGTTGGAATCCTGGTGTGGCGCTGTGGGTTAATGCGCCAGACTGTAAAGCCATTTGAACTGTAAAGTCAGCGGTTCAAACCTAACAGCTGCTCCTTGGAAAACCTATACAGGGTCTCTATGGATCGGAATTGACTAGATGGCACTTAACAACAACAACATACTATTGTTATTCTCTATTGTATGTATATAATATCACAAGTATAGATTTTGTATTATTTTTATTAAAAGAGATGAAGATAGAACTGATCATAGAAAGAACTAATGACCCATGGACTCTTTAGGTTTTATGTATATATTAATTGAATTCAATATGGTAACAGTGTTGGATATATATATGTGTGTGTGTGTATGCATACATTTGTTGTTGTTAAGTGCCGACAAATCGGTTCCAACCCATAGTGATGCTATAGGATTTCCATTGAGCGGCTGGCTGGTTTGAACCCTGATGTCCTTGAAGTTTAAATCAACCTTGCTATCCAGTGCATTATTCTGCATCGCCACACCAGGATTCCACATACACTCACATACACACATACACACATATACATATGGACCAGAAGTCCATATATATAAACATGGTATGGATTTCTGGCATGACCTGTAGGATCAGCACTGGACTACCCAACCACAAGGTCGGCAGTTCAAACCCACCAACTATTCCTCAGAAACTCTATACAGAGTAATTATGCATGGGAACTGACTCACCATCACCTAAAACAATATCTATAGTATATTGGCTCCATATGATAAGCACTGCAGTGCAAACCACAAGTAATGGTTCTAGCTGCTCCACTGAAGAAAGATGAGGCTTTCTGCTCCAGCAAAATAATAATAATAATAAAGCCTTGGAAACCCTATATAGGCTTGCTATGAGTCAAACTGACTCGAAGGCACTTAACAACAATAACAAATATAGTATGAGTTTAAACTGTTTTTAGATAACATACTTAGAATGCTTCAAGTTGTTCTTCGAAATAGCTAATAATCCTTCAGTTATTTAATTAGTGAATTATCTATAACAAAACCAAATCCACAGTTACCCAGTTGATTCAAACTCATAGCATCCATTGTACATAGCTAGCTGGAACTGCCCCATAGAGTTTTCAAGGCTGTAAAATGCAAAGATATCACTTTGAGGATTAAGGTGCAGCTGATCCAAACCATGGCATTTAAAATCACCTCTTATACATTCAAAAGTTAGACAATAAGGAAGACTGAAAAAATAACTGATTCATTTTATTTATGTTGTTGATGAAGAATACTGAATATACCATGGCCAGCCAGGAGAAGGAACAAATCTGTGTTGGAAGAAGTATAATCAAAATGCTCCTTTGAAGTGGGGATGTAGAGACTTCATCTCTCATACTTTGTACCAGTCCCTGGAGAATGATATCATGCAAAAAAAAAAAAAAAAGAGGGAGATCTTCAACAAGATGGATTGACACAATGACTGTACACAGGACTCAAACACAGCAACAGTTGTGGGAATGGTGTAGGACCTGGCAGTTCTTTGTTCTGTTGTCACCAGATAGACAGCAGTTAACAAGAACAAGAACAACAACAAATCTTCATGGAAGCAGACTGCCACATCCAAAACTGTATCCCACATACATGTTGGTAGGTTCAAACAACCGACCTTTCCATTAGCTTCACTACAGTATCACAAGGGCTCCTTGCAATATCTGTAGTGACCAAGTGATGAAAGTATCATGATATCAGAACCTATATTTTAACATAGCATTTCAGATATCTTAGAATAAATCCCAAACTTTTCTTCAGCATTTTCCATTTATATTTTACATATGTGGACACAGGAATGTGGAAGGAATATTTGTTATGGATTTTTCAGTTACTAAGTTTAAGCTGGGTTTTAAAGAGGTGTATCAATATGAGTTCTGGTGTAGCACTGTGGGTTAATGCACTCGAGTGCAAAGTAGCACCAGCTGCTCCTCAGAAACCCTATACAGGGTGGGTCGGTATGATTGGAACTGACTCGACGTCTCTTAACAACAACAATCAATAGAAGAGTCTTCCAAAAGGTTTTTCCTATAACGAATCAATCTGATTTCTAAGAAAATAAATTGCATCAGTACACTAATGAGTCACAGAGATTACTGTAGCCTTTCAGGTGGTTGCTCAATTAGTGGTGAATCGTGTTAGTGCACACAGTACTCAATATGGGCAAGTCTGAAATCTCTATTGAGCCTCAGGACTAGAGCATATTAGTTAAAATAACCCTCATAAAATCAAAACGTATCATTTCTGAAAACAATCTCTTTAACCTTTTGGAAATATTTTAATTTGATTTGATTTTCAAGGATATTTGTTGATGAATATATTTACTTTGAGCAGATATTGGTGTGCTTGATGGTACTATGGAACTGCAATAGATGGGATAGCTATAGCAGGTAGTTAAAGGTTCTTAAAAGTGTCAAAGGTAGTTACTTCCAACACAAATATTTCCAGCCAGATAAAAATGTTGTGGAGGCAAGTGACTGTGATAGGCCTTTGCAAAAACGGTTTGTCCTTTTATCAGAACAAACTGTACAGCATTTAACAACAACAAAGAAATTTAGTGCTTTCTGCATAAGGTATTTACATATCCATAGATTTAATTTAAGCAAATATGGTTACATTGTGAACTGGAGGAACTCCCTTGAAAATATCTTTTCTTAATTGATGATGTTTAATGGATAAAAGGAGTCCTGGTTGTTGGTTAATACACTGGACTGCAATGAAGGTTTGAACCACAAGGTCCATGGTTCAAGCTGACCAGTCACTCCTCCGAAACCCTATACAGGGTCGCTATGAGTTGGACCCAACTTCATGGCACTTTACAACAACAACAATGGATAAAAGAAAAACAGCAAATCAGGACTGACTGTGAGTGTTGGAAATGGAAAGGTAGACATTTTGTAACAAAAGGAGGGGAGTGATTGAGTTTGCAGTCTAGGAGCAGAGGTTCCTGGGACTATCAAGGGAGAAGTGCAGAGAGCAGGGCCCTACCCAGTGAAGCAGTGACACCAGAGATGGAGGCAGAGAGAATGATGGAGCAGTTGGGGACTCAGGGAGGGAGAGGGGCTGTGGGCTGATAGTGGGGGTGGGAGGGCAGGCTTGTAGGGTGTACCCTTTGATTGTTTGATGATGCATGGAGGGGATTGTAACCATTGCAATGAAACAAAATACCATAGGATGAATATAAATCTAATGTTCTCCCATGTAAACTAGCACTTAATTCACAATAAAAACTAAAAAAAAAAAAAAAGATAAACAGCTATAATTGATATCTTGCTATTATTAGTTGCCTTTGAGTCAGGTCAAACTTACAGCCACCCTATACGTAACAGAAGCTCTGGTAGCGTAGT